AACTTCCTTTCCGATTAAATTTAGACTCAATTTAGATTGGATTCAATCCAGCTGAGTTGATCGTCCAGGGCAAAAAATGATCAATTGCTTTGCATCGGTCTACATATACCTTTGATCCTAAATACTATCGTATTTCAATCAATCAGATTATGAGATTACATGGTGGAAACAGAGATTCTATCAACACCTTACAATCATAATTTACAGTTGTATCTTAAAACAGAGCTCCACCCAAAAGGGAAAGTTCCACTTTAAATTGGGGAACTGGAGAAAGTACAGAGAAGGGCAACCAAACTGATAAGAGGCATGGAGGAGCTCAGCTATGAGGAAAGATTAGAGGAACTGAATTAAGGGGGGATATGATCAACATGTATGAATACATCAGTGGTTTATATAGTGAACTCGGTGTAGAGCTATTCACCCTGAGGTCATCACAGAGGACAAGGGGGGCACTCTTTATGTCTGGAGGATAAGAAATTTAATTTCCAAACACGGAAAGGTTTCTTCACAGTGAGAGCTGTGAAAATGTGGAATAGACTCCCTCAAGAGTTGGTTCTGGCCAGCTCAGTGGATTGCTTCAAAAAAGGCCTGGATTATTTCTTGGATACACAGAATATAACTGGATACTAACATTTATAGGTAAAGTTGATCCAGGGAATATCCGATTGCCTCTCAGGGAATCAGGAAGGAATTTTTTCCCCTGCAGAAGCAAATTGGATCATGCTTTTCTCTGGATCAACTGTGGGTATAGGATTATAACTTTTTATTTTTTAATGGTTGAACTGGATGGACTTTTGTCTTTTTTCAGCCAGACTAACTGTGTAACTATGTAAGTACTGGTCCCCCGCTCCCCGTGAGTAAATGGCACCTTTGGGGAGTAGGGGGCGAGTGGATACTTTTATTGACAGGTACCCGCTCCCACTTCCGCTGCATTGCCTAGGCGATGTCCTTCCACCCTCCCTTCCTGTAGATTTCTGGGACACGTGACAGATCCCATAAGACTACAGGACCATTCACAAGGCGCAGCGCTACTCACGCATGCGCAGTGGGCACCAGGCTGTGAAGCCGCAAGCTGTCACAGCCAGGTGCCCACAGTGAAGATGCCGGGGAACGAGGACAGCCAGTGAAAGGGGCTGCAATGAGGACATTGCTGGATTGTGGGACAGGTGAGTGGATGTTTTTTAAAAGTCTGCAGCTACAGTTTTTGGGACTATAGGCAGTATGCTTATTTTACTAATAAAAGACATAACAACTTTTATTTTGGATGATAACCTGGCCGCGGACGTTTGTTATTGGTATACTTAGCTTTCAATAAATATTTATTTGTATACAGTAAATCAGTATGAATATATTAAACATTTTACTTAACTTATTACTACATACCACAGCTTAGTCATTACGACTCAAACTGTATAACGTATTAACCATCCTTATATACTTTGACAATCTTACTCCATCTGATGGACTTACTTACTCATCCCCCTTCAATTAAAGTTGCAATCACCAATAATATATGGCTGTGACAAAAAAGGGGCAGGTGGGAGGGGAGCACCACAGAGATGCCTTCCAGGCGGCTGATCCTAGAGGATTGGAACCCCCTTTTTCAGTCCTCCTAAACTCTCCTGGTCTCCCTCTGATTGGTCAGTTGCCTTTCAGGTGTTACCCCACAAGCCCTAGATGCAGCGGGGGGCTTAGAATGCCTCATTTCTTGAAGCTTCCCCATTTATCAAGGGCTAGTGGGGGGGGGGGGCGTGAAACGTTTAGTCCGGGTTCACACTAATGTGGTGCAGGAAACACTGCGAATCCCGTACATTTCCCACACCCCATTGCAATCACATGACGTTCATGCGATCTGGTGCGGTTGTCAATGATAAATCAATGACACCCCGAAACAGATCACAAAACGCGATGTGATTGGCAGAAAAATCTGTGTCCTCACCCATGTGATGCGATTCAGGTGCGGATACAAAAAAGGTTCCTTCATCTTTTTGGTGCAGATGTGATGTGATTTGAGCTGTACAAAATATATGGCTCTGCAAATTGCACTGCACAGACACTGCATGTAATCCGTACAGGAATGCAGTGTGATTTCTGTGCAAATTACATGTGGTGCCCTGAACCCCATTAATGTGGACCAGCCATTAACGAACTTCTAGAAGTTTCCACTTTAGTCTTAGGCAAAAGGGGGGACCTAAAACCTGCTGACCTTCTAGAAGTCTTGAGAGAGAGAGAGAGAGAGAGAGAGGAGAGAGAGAGGGGGTAGACTTGAAACTTGCTCCTGCCACAGTCCCATAGGAAGAGGGGGGGCTAAAATTGTAATCCCTCTTTTCTTTTCCTACTTTTTCTAGGTTTGACTGGAGCTCTGCTTTAAATACTGATCAAAATCCTCTTCCCAATATGTGTGTCATAACAACCGAATGGGTTTTCAATTACTATTCTCTCTTCTCTTACTTCTTGCTGTATCTCCAGGGCTGACCATACACTCTACAATCTGATTGTACAATCTCTAACATCAACAATGTAATACAAGTTCCTGTCCCATTTGACACTAACTGAATGAGTTGTTCTGATAAAGGAGATTGTACAATGGGATTGTATATTGTATGGCCAGCTTAGGACATTAAGTGAAGGGAAATCTGCAGATCAGAAACAAACAGCAACTACTTTATCTAAAAAAATAATGAACGTTTTAGATGTCTTCCTGTATTCTTTGCTATAAAAAGGGGAGATGAAAAGGTGCATGTCACAGCAAGCAGTTATAGTGTCAATAAAGCCTAACAATGAACTTCTCTTGTCTGCTCCCATTGGTCAGTTAAATATATGATGTTTTCTTATATCTTCTTGATAAGGACAATACATATCTGTTGATCCTGCCAGAAACCTTGTAAGATGATGCATTCCTTTGCTCTCTCCTTGTACTGACTTTTATCAGTTACATTTTTCCAGCTATCTATCAGAACCACAGAACCATCTCCATTCTATGAGGTGAAGGTGTTCTGTAGTTCCTGGGTCCACGGGTGACAACACTGCTTCCCCAGTACAATGAATGTGTGAGAGGTGTAACCCTACAATGGGATGTGTGTTACCAGCTAGATCACCAGGTGAACATAAAGTAATAATATTGCATCCACCATGTCTGCAGACTGGTAGGCTGCAATATATTCTGTTTGTGTTCTTGAGTTTATATTACTATTTTTCACTTCCTCCCCCACTTTGACACTTTTTTTTTGGGAGGGGGGCGGTGGTAGCAGGCGGGGAGGGTACAGTCGCTGTTTTTTCTTTGTCATATGAGTTTTATTAAGGAGAATTCCCTTCACTTCCTATCCGAAGTACTCCACAAGAAGATAGAGGGTATCTTCCCACTGTGAGGGCAATTCCTTCTTAGACAGTTGTCATGAAACAAGTGTCCCCATTGGAAGATTTCCCCTCTATTCCTGTTCTGGTGACAACTCAAACTTTTGGATTGATCCTCACTTTCATTACCAGTGAACCTGATGATCAACACAATTACAAAGACTGAGCCCAGGTTCACACTGATGCTGTGCGGCACATCGCATGTGATTCACACAAGAACCGCACCGCATTCCTGTGCAAATCACATGCGATTTCTATACTGTGTAATTTAAGCCATGCATTTCGTATGGCTCAAATCGCACCACATCCGCACCAAAAAAGTGCAAGACCATTTTTTGTCTGCACCAGAATTGGATCGCATGGGTGTTCACCCAGGCTCAAGCTCTCAAATGGGGACACAGATAACAAGAACCTAACTGTGGTTCTAACCATCCTATTCAAAACAAAAAAAAAGGTGTACTTTTAATTATACTTTTACAAAAACATTAACTTCTAAATGTTTACAAAGCAGGCATGAAAAGGTAAAAAAAGGGAGAGTAAGCACTTAGTGAGTGCAGCAACACTTCAATTTTCCTGATCTCCTCCACACAATAGGGTTAATTCACTTAAGAGGCTTAAGCTGTTTACGAAGCAAAGTGAATTTTCACTGTGCAAAGGAACTTTCACTTAGCTTACAGAAGTGAACCTATGCTGACTTCCGTCATCCAAAAAAAAAAAAAAGACCCCCCACTTTTTTTTTTTTTCTTGAATGTGATTGAGCATCCATTGCAAGTGAATTCTTACCACGTTCATTGTCAAAGTAGAGCTAAAGGCAAAACATTTTTAGTCATTTTGGAAGTGAGAGGAAATCCCTCCAAAGTAAGGGAATCCCTGGTTGTCACTGTCCCCGTTCTAATAACAACCCAACATTTGGGATTTTCTTTCATTTTCACTTTTGATGATCATGGTGAACAGGACACACAGAAAAGGTAAATCTCTCTAAGAGGGGCACAGACAGCAATAAAAACCTGACAAATGTTCTACTTTAGCTCCACTCGATCCAAAACTCAAAAAGATGCCTTTAGTTCTTATTCTGCATATGCACCCATTACTTAATAGTCTTTTAATCTTTTTTGAATGGAATTGTTTCTATTGTGTTTTTGTGCTTTCTTATCCCTAACCTCTCCTCCCCCCGTCACTTCTCTTTGTTGAGATGAGAAGTCCATTTCAGCCGTGGTTATGTGTGCTGCTCTATACACACTACAAATCCCATAGTCCATCTCGGGGGCAAGCAAGAGAGGGTTCCTACATGCAGTGGGACCATGGAGAACGAATGTAGCCACCCACTAACAGAAAATCAGATCGCAGAAAAAAAGGAAATTGGAGATTTGGTGGAGGCTGAAGCTACTTTTTTGACTTAAGAATGTATATATATTTTCTTTTAAACCAGAGTTTAGTGTCACTTTAAGTGGAAATTCCCTGGCAAAGTGAACATGCTCTACTTCTTTCGGAAATTGAGCCCATTGCATCGCACATCGTCACTCCCACCAGTCCAGCCTAATTAGAGGTGACATGAGACAGAAGATTGTTCGTTCGGGATGAGTAAATGGCTCGACAATGAATGATGATCACAGCACAGCGGTGGAAGGAATACCTGGGAGACTCACCAAAAAGCGTGTTGATGAATCCGTACCAGACGCATCCGGCTTCTCCGATGAGCCAGCGTCCCTGGGTGCTGGCGGCAAAGCTGAATGGGGTGCCTAGGATACACACCATCAGGTCACTCAGAGAGATGTTCATCAGCAACATGTTAATGGGGGAACGCAGCACCTTGTACTGGCAGTAAAGGACAAGTACCAGCAAGTTGTTGAAGAAGCCCAAACTTCCAATGATTCCCAGAAACACAGCTACCAGCAGGTGGCCTGTCGGTGATAAGTTTCCTGGCTCCGTCCCATACTGGTGGCTGCTGCTTCTGCAGGTGACGCTGCTGCTGTCACTACAGCTGGGACTGAAACTTGGGAAAGCCATGATGGGAGCCTGCAGAATAATGCAAGCAGCTGCTTCTCATGCACTTTTTTCTTTTTTTTTTGTTTGCTGTCTGTGATGGCTCGGTAGCACGTGCGAAGTGGAAAGGGTTAATGGCAGCAGTGTGCGAAGAAGCAGTGCCTGCGAGGCTCCATCGTGTGGCCATTTGTCAGCCGGCAGCCTGCCTTTTTATGTGTGCTGGATTTAAAGGGGGGTGCGGCGTGCACCTTTCTGGGGTGGTGGTGGGGGGTGACACTCAGGAACAGGGCTGGCTTACGCGCGTAGTGACGACTGGGGAGGGGGGAGGGAGTCTTAGCTGTGTCACTCGGATATAGCGAGCATCCTCACCATTAATCCTTTTCCATACAGCAAATTAGGTCTTTGCACATGAGGATTCTCCAGCAAAGAGGAATTGAAGCAGGTTTGCACTGTCACTTATTCCCCATGATTACACACACAGCGGGGATGGAGCTGCCTTATCTTAAAGCGTATGTCCGCTTTTGCAGTCAAATTTGAGAAATCCCCACTATATGTTTATTATATCTTCCCATTCACACAGCATACCTAAAAATAAGGCATTTCTATGTTTAAAAAAATTATATAGTTAAAAATCTATTTCTTACCTTTCTACTTATTTCTTCAGAGCAGGCTTACACACAGGTCTGAAAGCTATCCTGAGCAATTTCAGACAAAGTGGGGGCAGAGTCGGTCTCCCTTCATTACCATACAATGCAGAATTAAAGTATATGGAAAGCCTCACCTTGTAAAACAACCTATTCAGTTTAAAATATAAATAAAAGACAATATTTGTGTACAGATATAAAAAAACATTATAAATACCTTTTTTCCTTTTTTTAGAATTGATCACATACTCTCTATTCTCAGCTGTATAAGGAGCTGGAGGAGTAAAAACAGCAGCACACTAATCTTCCCAGTGAATGGCTGCACAGGATTGGGGGGGGGGGTGTCAGGACAAGTGTTATCATTGGATTCCCAGCCAGAAAACTGACCACGCTGTGCTCCCCTGTCTAGCGTGGTCAGTTTTTAGGAAAGCAGAGGGACTGGCAGGGACAGGGTTTTGTGCAAAGATAGCAATACAAAAAGAACAGGATACTTTTTCATACAAGTACATGGTACAGCGGGCACATATCAGGAATCTGAAATGTTGGGTTTAAATACTCTTTCAGCTGGGAACACACTAGTTGAATTTCATTCAACATTTTTTGTGTAAAAACACTGTAGGAATGTTCATTTGTTTTTCTAATCGCTAGTGGGAACAAATCGGCATTCATTTTCAACTGCAGCGGTGAGAAAAGTCGAAGGTGCAGGATGGAAAATTGTTCTTGATTGTACAAATATCTAACGGTATATGTAGTTTACCTTTCATTCCAAAATGTTTGCACATATTTATTTTGTTCAAAATTCTACTAGTGTATACCCAGTTTTAACCCTTTGTTAGGACAGTGTTGGAGTGTAGTTTGCAACTAATAATGAGATCTGCTAGCACAGTACAGACAGGATTAATTATGGTAAACATTTACTTCACAGCCTCTTCCTTAAAGTGATATTAAACCTTCAGTTTTTATGCACTTTCAGCAGCTGATTTAATCACTTAAAGTATTACTAAACCCACAACAGTAAAATCAGTCTGTATATGCAGTAAAACATTATTATTATTATTATTACTACGAGTTTATATAGCGCCAAAGGGTTTGCTCAGCGCTGTACAATAGGGGGGGACAATACATGGCACAGTACAACAAAGACAGACAGCGTACGAGGGGTAAGAGGGCCCTACTCTTACGAGCTTACAATCATGCTTGTTATACTCACTGTGGAACCTAAAGGGTTTTAATACTCTGCATTGTGTAAAAAGGCTGTTTGATCCTGTCTTCTCTGCCTCCCCTCCTACTGTCCGCAATCCATCTGCTGATAGTACAGAGCTCTGGGAGTCCCTCTGCACATGCTTATGCAATTTAGTGAGTAATGTAAGAGTTTTGTTTCTTGGGAGAGTGCATGTGTTCAGCACAGGACCAATCAGCACTGTCCAGACAGAGGGTCAGGGTTATGCAGCCTCATAGGACAGTCAGGGCAGAATGAAAACTCCTTCTACAAGCTTTAACCAGTGCTCTGCTGGACACTGATAGAGGTCACAAGACTGCTATATACTGCTGATGAAAAAAGGTATTTAGCAGTTTATATTTATTAAAATAATTGTATTTCCATGTTGTGTGTACTGTGGGAGACCAGATATAGTCAATGCATATAGTGGTCCTGGGTTTAGCAACACTTTAATATGCAGTATGCAGCTTCTTTATCTTTTAATTCTTGCCTACAGTATGTTCCAGTGTAATCCCTGCCTCAGGTTTCCCATTTCAGAGCGCCTTCTTTCTCTTGCAGCATCCTGTAGAGTCACTATTCATGTAAGGACTGGAGTTGTGTCTCCCTACACTGTGTGCCTCAATAGAAACACACAGCCACATAGCCTACGATGGCAAGGCACTTCCCTGCTCATCCATCCTCCTTCTCCCTTCCTTCTACAAGCTAACAGACGTGCTCAAGACTGCACTGTCCACTGTTAACTATTTCCTGTGAAGGCCAGACGTTCAGGGAAGCAGCGCTGAGAGAGCAGGACCCAGCAGCATTTAATGTTGTAAAATGCATGTGCTGGGGTAAGAATTTTAATACTAACAATCTTTACCGGAGAATGTTTATTTTTATTGTGTTCAATGTGTTAAACTAAACAGGCTGAGGGTTTATTGCTACATTAACATTACATAGGAGGAAGGTAGGTAGCTAGTTTAAGGAGGTCAAAAGCACTTAAAGCGGTATTATAATCTAAAATTAAATATGTCATATATTGCAGCTTACCAATCAGATGAGTTGGCTGCATTAGTTTTGTTTAGGCTTTTTTCCCCTCTCTTTTCACCTGATGATCCATCCAGTAACACATCTCCTGTATTAGAGTGCCCCACTCTGGGTGAATGAGCACAGGGGGCACCTTTGGGCAGCAGCTTTGTTAGTCTGGGGGGAGGTGTGTTACATAAAATAAAATCTGATTATTGTAAGCACCTCTGGCAGTGTTAAATGGTTTGTTTCATCTCTGTAACTAATACATTCTGCAGAACAGCTTTCTTTTGAAAAACAACAGACTTACAGAAAATGAATGCAGCCAATACATCAAAGAAATAGTAAGCTGCAATAATAATAATAAATGTTTGCTTTTGTGTTTAATACCACTTTAAATAGTTCTATGCATGAAGGAAAAAAAACAGCAGCCCCCCAATACCTACCTGAGCCTCATCTCGATCCAACGATGTGCACGAGAGCCTTGGCTAACCCGGGTCTCTCCCTCCTCATTGGCTGAGTCAGCAGTGGGATCCAGTGGGCCAATGAAGAGAGAGTGTTGGGGAAGGTGGGTCCAAGCCGGGTCTGTATGTGAATGAACACAGAGCAGAGGTTCAGGGGTGAGCTTGCTCAGGTGGCCCAATAGCAAGCAGCTTGCTGTGGGGGCACTTGGCAGGAGGGAGGAGCCAGAAGCTCCAGCGGGGGGCCCGAGAAGAGAAGGATCGAGGCTGCTCTATGCAAAAACATTGCACAGAGCAGGTAGGTGTGCCATGTTTGTTATTTAAAAAAAAAAAAAACTACCTCTACAATCAATCACTTTATGGGCCAATATACAAAGCCCAGCGTTATAGGAGTAAACATTAATGTATCTGTTCTTATTTTATCACTCTTTATTTTTCTTGCTGAAATATACAATTAAAGTTTTCACTCTTTACTGCATACTCAGTTTTGGGGCTCCCTGGCTCCTAGCGATAGCAACCCTCTGCCAGTAATGAACCCTCTGATACACCAAGGCTAGAGGAAAAGATGTTTACTTGGGCAGAATGCCCAGCAGAGCAAATAACTGTGACATTAAATGCAAACAATGGCAAAGAGCAGCTGCAACAGTAACAATTTACAAATGGCAATCAAACCTCATTTCACAGGGTACCTGAAACCTGGCTCAAGGGGGTTAAAATCTGCACCTTCCAGGACCTGACTTATGGGGGAACCCTAACTACAGGACATACAGTTGTGGCCATCCCTGCATTCCTGTCAGACAATGCACAACTTCGCCCAGAAAATTGTGGGGTTCCTTTTCCCAACTGCTGTTTTGAGATCTCTCCACTCCATAGAGGTGCTCTATGGGATTGAGGTCTGGACTCCTTACTGGTCAGTTCAGTATTCTCCAGCACTTTGGGTGCTTTTTGATGTGTGTTTTAGGTCATTGTCCTGCTGTAAGACCCATGACCTCTTATGGAGATCGAACTTTCTGACACTGGGCCCTACACTGCACCTCAGAATTCTTTGGTAGTCTTCAGATTTCATAATGCCATGTACATAGTCAAGACATCGACTGCCTGAAGCAGCAAAGCAACCCCAAAACATCAGTGAACCTCCACCATGTTTGACTGTAGGGATTGTACTCTTTTCTTTAAAGGCCTCATTTCTTTTTCTGAAAACAGTAGAATGATGGGCTTTACCAAAAAGCTGTAATTTTGTTTCGTCTGTCCACAGCACATTCTCCCTAAAGGATTTTGGCTTCCTCCGGTAAGTTTTGGCAAACTCCAATCTGGCTTTTTTATTTTTCTGTCTCAGCAATGGGGTCCTCCTGGGTCTCGTACCATAGCGTCCCTTTTCATTCAGATGGCAACGTATAGTGCAAGCTGACACAGTTGTACCCTGTGCCTGACGGTCAGCTTGAATTTGTCTGGAAGTTGATTGAAGTTCTTTTTACACCATTCGAA